GGTTTTTTTTAGACGAAGTCTCTTTTGATAATAGAGGAATGATAAGGAAGCGTAGTTATGCTCTTCGGGGCAAGACCCTTGCAATTCGTGGTGATTTTCACAGAAAGCCACGCGTCTCCATTTTAGCTTTCATTGGGGTTAATGGAGTAATCGACTACTACGACACCGAGGGTACTTTCGATAGAGTGGAGTTTACGAAGGCGTGTCGAGAATTTGCATACTCAAAGCACGGAAATGTTCGTCAGTACCCTGGTTGTAACTCTGTCTGGGTCCTGGATGGAGCTGCAATACACCGGGACTTTGAGATTGTTCACTTCTTGTGCAGCATAGGTGTGGTACCAATTTTTCTCCCCGCCTATTGCCCATTTTTCAATCCTATTGAATACCTATTCGGCTACATGAAGAAGGCTTTTCAACGAAACTATAATGAGAGTTCCGGTCGCAATTTAGCGCAGTTCATAGTGGAAACGTTCTCCTTATTCGAGGGATACAGTATGACGAACGTGTTCGAGCACTGTGGGTGGAGAGTCCAAGGATCCGGTCAAGCAACTATCGAAGGAGAACCGAACTACGGCGGAGGGCACTGCCGAAGACAATAACCAAGAAGATGAGCTGGAATTCACAATTAGAGAAAATTAAAGATGAGCTGGAATTTACAATTAGAGAAAATTAATCGTGAAAGCAGGCTGATAAGCTGTTACCTATTCGTGATTGATGTTGTTGATGTTCTCCAACCTTAAAAGCGGATCAATAACATCTTCTGAAAGAAGGGAGCTCCTTATAAAAGCTTCAACGACTGCTTTCTGGGTTGCCAGATTTTTTTTTCACAGCTCTCCAAGCGCAGTCCTAATGCCTTCCAGTCTCTGCGAACTTGATGAATATCGGCCGTAAACCTATCCACACAAGCCATTGCAACACGAGCAGACTGTGTAATGATGGATAACTGTTGTTCTCGTTGCGTGTCTGTTGGTCAAAGTAGAGGGACGATAATAGTTGGTGGATCTTGCATAATTGCTGCTTCCCACGTCGATCGGTCAACGTTTCTTGTTTGGCGGTTTGCTCACATCCTCCACACCACCGTAGTAGCTTGAAAACTTGAATCCCAGCGCTGGAGAAGTCTATCCACAATCTGTTGAAAGCAGACTTCAGCTGTGGTCCCAGCATGATCGGTCTCGGAACGAAGAACGCACGTTGTCTTGAATGCTTCAAGGTCGCTCGCTTTTGTAATTGCAACTCCATATTCGTATACAAGAAGCGTCACAGTCTTTCCTCGA